TCAAGAGCACAAGTTCAATTTAAATCTGACTTAGATAATCAAATATGGATGGTTTTAAACATTAAAGTAATCACATCTGTGGATTGCTCTCAAGGCATCTATGTAGCATGGCTCAAAGAAATGTGATGACTATTCATATTATGCAAATGTCAATCCAAAAACCAGACCTTTTCCCAAACTTTCATGCATTTTTCCAAGACATTTTGACCCTTAATTCAGGCCAACATCATCGCCAAAGCTCATCAAAGTTCTGAGGATATGGTAGTTCCCTAGAGAAAACTGGTCTTTCTAAAATGAATTAATAACTATGAAGAAATTTAAAGACTTTTCAAAGATTTTTTTATTTTTTTCTGTAATTTAAAGACAACTCAAAGACTTTCCTGACCTAAAAATATCCAAAGAATTTCAAAGGATTTTCCCAACGCTATGGACCTGTATCATACAAATTAGATAATTAATATATATGTATTTAGGCCCCAAATTAATTAGGTTGTTGCACTGTCTTAGAGAATTTATGTACTATGATTTATTAAAATAAATGATTAGTATTTGAGATGTTGACGGAAAAGCTGAAAACAGACTAATTGGCAACAGCCAAAATATAGATTTTTGAATACTTTTGTGTCAAATGTGTCATTTCCTACCAGTCTAAAAACCAGGGGCAGAATGTCTGCCAACAATTAACTAGTGACAGTCCGTGACCTCTCAAACTATCTAGATAATATGCATCGTTGATCAATATGTAACTAGTCACGACAACTTCAGTGAAACCTCAAGTTGTAAAACCAATCCAAGATATGAGCCAGAATTCATTCAATATATTCCGTGTTCTGTAGTTTATAAATATACCGCAAACTACGACTACGCAATGGATATAAGTCACGTTGAGAGTTTCAACAACACTCCAAACATTGTTCACGACAAGGGGCTTGGGTAATCAATGTAATGAAATAGACTCTGTCCGTGGATAATAATTATAGAAAACTAAACGCAAACATACCGGGAAAGGAAAACTTGCCCCAACCCCTGGTTTAATCTGAACTGTAATTTGGGCATATTCAAATTAAACATCCTGGCGCTGATTCAATCTGTTCCGTGATTTGGGGTATATTCAATTATATTCGAACACCTGATTTGACCTGGGCATGATACGAGCATACTCAAACATGTCCAATCCCTGATTCAATCTGGGTTGTGAAGTGGGTGTATTCAAACATACCCCACCCCGATGTAATCAATGTCGTGATTCAATCTGGGCTGTAATTAAATTTTGTGCAATCACAGCCAAGAGCATAATATAAGACATGTTGTTGTTTTTGTTTTTTATTTTAAAGTGCACTAATATAATTCATGTTGTCTTATTTTTTTATGTTTCAGGCATTCGAGTATCGACACAATGGCCAACATGACAAAGCCACCAAGTTTTCCAAAATATCAATCGGTCTCTCCATTGTAGGTTTCATACTTGCTGTGGTCACCATAATTATAGTGGTTGTAGTTTTATTTGTTGTCAACACATCCAAAGAATTCTAAGATTAAAAATCTCAGCGAGAGTCTGATGAGATATAAATGTACACAAATTAAAATCTGCTCATTGAAATTCTGATCGAAATCTGGTCACAATATTTGGAGATTTGTTCTCTTATTTGCATAGAACTATGTGATAGAAATTCTTGCTAGAATTTACCCACAGTCACTAACAAATATTCCCGTCAAAATGTGGTTGAAATTTGTATTGTATATCACCCAGTCACTGAATTTAGGTGACTTGCTGTAATTCATATTCTTCAATTAATTACTCATCTCAACATTACATAATATATATATTGTCATATCAGGGTATGGTGGCACATATATACAAAGTATTAACGTAAAGATAATGAGGCATGAGCTGTGTGTGTTTTCAATGTTTCAAGTAATACAGAGTCAAAACTATTTTATGATACCAAGAAAACACATGGCGTAAATATTATAATAGTATGCTAATAACTGGAAAATGACTTCTTGGTTGCTCAAACATTATTCGCATATCGAGTATGTTCAACTCCTCATTTAAAGGGCGGCAGTCGTCGTGCCGCGTCATGTTCGATATGGGACTCGTAGAGACGTATACAACGCGTGTAAAATACATTGCTTATTTACATGAAATTCGAACACGCGCTGCGCGACGACCACCGCGCTTTAACATTTAAATCGCTTATACTCTGAAGAACATGGCGCCGACCGACTGTACAAATAAGCTCAAAGCGTGGTAGTCGTCGCGCTGTGCATGTGCGACATTTGTGTTGATAAACATTGATTTTCCCACAATCCAATGCGTTCTTCAAATGGAAATCACAAGTATGAGGTTTGACCTGGGCGCGACTTGCACTGATTACCGACGGTGACTCCTTCGATACCTTCCAATCACATGAAAATTGCCTAATTAAAACTTAGAAACGTCTCAGTTCGTACTTGTTGATCTGCGCAACAGTCAAAGTCGCCATCTTTGTTTATATGAGACCCATATATCTCGCACATGCGCAGCGCGACGACTACCGCGCTTTAACATTCTGTGCCTCTTCTGATGTAAAATAAATGTATTTCACGAATTTTGTGTAAAGCTGGGCGCTACTGAAGGAATAACCATGTAAGAGTATTTAGGGTAGGATTGGTGTTGCCATAGTAACAATTACACATGTAATGACATATATACAGAATGTTTGTTCTGATTAATATTTCAATGTCCAACACAATTGACATAGGGGCGGCCATATACTCACTGATTTGTGTTTATTTGCTCTTCTCTACACTTTGAATAGTATGTATTACATAGAAATAACAAGGTTGTGTACTTTGTGGATAAATTCTCTTTTAATACATTTTATTTATAACTTTATTGGATACTAAAGTTGCTGCTGTATTTTTTAGCTCGGCTTGTTCTCAAATAAAAAAAATGAAACGATAATATGTGTTTTTTTCTCAGTTACATAATGTTGTACCTGAGAAAAATAGTTTTATTTTGGTGAAGTCAATACTACAAGCACGGGTTTTGAGGAACTAATCTCAATCAATTAATATTTAATAAATTAGCCCATCTATTAATAATCTGATCTGATTGCAGCTCTATTGCAAACATACATAGCAGTATGTCCAATATGATTAAAATCCCATATCAATATCGAGGCTTCCATCGTTGGTGGCGTCACATCTGACAACAGGTTTTGCTGGTTCTCACCTCAAGTGTAACTAGTAACGGTTCCCGCATTCTGATTGGCCAGTCAAGCACTCGTGCTCACTGTCGTTCTATATATAAAGCAGGGTTTTCCTTTTACTCTCGTGAATATTTTCGGGCGGACATCTGGGCATTTTTACCGCCTGGCAACCATCGCGGTGAAAACAAAGGCCGAAAACTATCAGAAAACGGTACTTTTGGATGGCTGTTGAGACTCCCCTGAACAGTGAAACAAAATTAGCCCTGCGTGTGCAGCATTACAGACACGTTTACGCAAAACGAAACTTGGAATGTGGAACAATATGGCGATTACTAGTTACCTGCGTCCTACTTGTCATTCGCAAAGGACGCCGGGAACTAGCGAAACTACAAGTGGGTTGTATATGAGTATAATAGCGGCTGAATGAAACTGTCGGCACTATTGCGTTCAATGCAGCTATACGACCTCCTTTATAAATGAATGAATGATACAAGTACAATGCCTAATTACATTAAAGCAACAGCAATATAAACCAAAATGTTCTCCGCAAAATGGCGTCTATATTAAAGCGGGAGGGTCGTCACCTGCGCACGCGCAGGAATCGAGTCCCAAGCGACGATAACAACACACGCTAAAAACGCAAAGGCTCATGGGTAGACGCTTGTTTGTAAACAATGACACGCTATGGTCATCTGACGCATGCACAGGTGACGACACCCCCGCTTTAATTTATATGTCCCTCTGTGTTCGTATATCGTCCGAATTGTCACTCAATTGTGATTACTCGTTTTTAGGTAAAATATCTGTTCCGATAGTTCATGTAATGGTTGCTTCAAAATGAATGACATTACAAGATTCTACTCACAAGCTTATTTTTTACAGGATAAATTACAATTAAGATATGGAATATAAAGTGTGACCCAATATTGAGAGTAGTACTGCCAACGTATATATTAACATATTTACCACTTCTAATCTCGTATCTTTTATTTTTTTTTTTGGATATATTTTTATTTCATATCGAGTAACAATATATTATGAGTAACATTTCCTTCAATTAGTGTTACTATGGAAACCGAGTTTGTTTAGCCCATGTTTTTAAAGTACCTTCGGGCGTACTGACATGCATACCACAGCATAGTTTATAGCAGCTATGTTTCATTTTTGTATTTTCAACATCATATCAGTCTGAGGATGTTGATTATTTCAAAATAGTTGACTGATGTTACGCCTTCTTCGTTATATTATCAAAAACTACATGTACTTTAAGTCTGTTTTGTCCATGTATTGCCAGATTTAAAGTCGTTATATACAAAACAAATAAGTATCTGGGTGGCTCGTAGCTGTCAGGAGTGTTAGTTTGATAATTGTTTTGAAAAGTGCCGAAAACGAAACATAGCAGGTAGAACTAAATCCGTTCTTATTGCAAATCCATGTTATCTCTACTATCAAGTGTTGTTTTTTTTCCAAATTTAACTCTGGAGGCTCTTCTACTGCGACTCGAAACATTTAAATATAGCTCTAGTTTGAATTACAAAGAAAAAAATAACGTGTGGTCTTTTTAAATAAGTGAAGAAATAAAGAAAAAAAATATTAAAAAAGTTAAAAAATTGAAGAAATGAATAAAAAAATATTAAAGAATTAAAAACAAATTGAATGAATACATAAATCAACTTTTTAAAGATGAAGTAGACGAGACATAATAAAGGTTAACCAATCGGGATGTCGTAAGTCACAGATGCGCATGTACGTGAACATGTGCTGGTAGGCTGGTAATTTAGTAAACACCCTCCACGATCCTCATTACGGTCCAGCGTTGTATAGCCAAGCGTTTAATCCACTTCATGTCACATTTTATATACTGTATACGAATTGTGTTTACACTGCAGTTCCAAGTATTGTGAAACAGTCGACGAGATGGAAGATTCGCCGGAAGGTAACGTATAATTGTACAAATAGCGACGGTTGATGTCGTCAAGGTTATTTAATGATGCGTGACCTTTTACTGACCTATTTATATATACTCTCACAATAAACACGTGTGCCATCATAATTACGCTACATTATATGTATTACGTCACGCCGCACGATAAGACTTCTCGGTGATTTAAACTTACAAATGGCGGTGGAGTACTTATATATGAAACGGTGGTTGACGTCATTTATCCGGCATGTAGGGTATAGAGTGGCTGGGTCAGTGGAAACGTCATCAGAGATATTCAATACCATTAAATATATTCAGACTCAATTCACACCATTGAAATGAATAGACCGTATTTAATTGATCGGCATGATTATAATGTTCGACATCTCGGCAGAGCAATATTGTACAAAAAAAAAACATTTAATTTCGATCATCTGTAAGTAGTTAAACTCAGACGCACAATACAATATTAGTGAGGTATCATGTGGTTAATTGTATTCGTATCATCTTAAATTTAACAAATGAATGGAATATGTATTATTATATAGGGGCATTACGCGTCAACAGTACTGGTACCAGGTAGCTGAGCTTTGGGCTTCACGCGCGTGCGATGTACTCGGTGAATATTGTAATTCAAAACCCTTTCGCTGATCGCTTTTCTAGTATACATGTCCCAACCAACTACACTGTTACCTGGTACATCTTATTTGTTCATATGGTTATATAAACCGTATCTTTCAAAGCAAAATTCATAAAATCACATTGATTTCCATTTCAGAGCCTCGGCGGACAAACCAAGATGACGAAGTAATGAATATAGATTTAAAAACACATGGCGATCCATTCACGATCTCTTTACCCGAGGACACCTTCAAGGTACAGCATTGTTTCGTGTTTCGTATGTTTCTTTTGCGACACTCTAACATCCAGTATCGTGTGTGTTCTAAAAATAAAAATGACGACACACAACGTAATAACATATTAATGTAGTCATTATGAAGAGCACAATGCGTGATACGTATATCATATAATAATAATATAATATAATATTAAAACTGTAAAATGAATCCAGTTATGAAATTTGTGATTACAATAAAGCCAGAATATTGTTATGAAGAAAGCAACGATCCGTGATTAATAGCGGTCAACACATGATAATCGATAGACTTGCAAACAGTCTCTTGTTTGTTGTTCTTTTCAATAAATAACATGTTACGTGAGTGTATAAATATCGAATACCGGATATACCACGAAACAACCGGCTAACCGCCATTTACAATTTATGCACTCACGTAATATTATAATTCATTAAAAAAGAAAGAAAAAGACTGCGTGCAAGTCTATATTACCGGGGATAATCGATATTATATATCACATAGCACACCCTTCCCATCGAGTGTTCTAGGATTTATCAATGTAAAGCGGGAATACTCTCCTCCGTCCTTTTTTGACATATAACGAATAATGTTAACATCATTTCGTTGCATGGACGAATTTAGCCAAGCAGTACAAGGCGTGCCGAATAGCGGCCACCGAGTATTTGATATAACGCACACGTGAAACCCTTTATTCTTTTGACCGTCTTGATGTTCGCATCCTATCGCATAGATACACCTGGCGATTTTTATTCTATCAGCAATTGGCCATTAAAACTCGGTATATTTTTGAAAAAAATGCAGCGACATTGTCATTTAAACAAATATTTAAACAAATAACACACATTTCATAAAAGAAAGGCAATATTACCCTGAAAAAAAAATCCAGCACAAAATTGAAGAACAAATCATTTTACATTTACCACCTTGCCGCCAAAACTGTCTATTGGTGTAACCCTTATTTTCTTAATACGGTCACAAATTTATAGCGCATGGAGTCTACTTTTCGTTAGCGAAGCAAAAACTGACGGAGACAGCTGGGGTAGATATGCGTTCGAAAAAAAAGAAAACAAAATGAATTTCGAGACCTGAAGTATGCCATGCTTAGGATATGGAAGCGAAGCGTCCCAGGTTGCGTCTTGGTCCAACGCCGATAGCGCAGAAACCATGTTGAAAGAATTAGACTCAAAGGTGTATAGGGTGTATTCTGTAATATATGTAATATTGATTAATTTTTGCAACACGTACATGGCCTTGATTGGTCATTCATAGGCTCACCTTTAAGTTAGTGTACATCATTTATCGACTTCATGTTCGTATAACAAATATTATCTGATTATTTGCAATATTGTAATTAGGAGAGACATCTACAGAGGGAGTAAACTGGCGCGTTAGGAGAGACATCTACAGAGGGAGTAAACTGGCGCGTTAGGATAGACATCTACAGAGGGAGTAAACTGGCGCGTATTGATATATGTTTTGCTGAGGTTCAAAACGCTCAGTCGATTGAAGGATGCGTTATTCAATATTTGATTTTAATTATTGTGGATCCTTACGTCATGACCGCGATTGCTCACGGATTTGTAAAATCCTACTGGGACGTTCAACCTATACATATGTATATACCGAAAATATTATTTTAAAATAATATTTTCGATATATACTTTTTAACTCATTAATAGAAATCTGAATAATATTTTGTACGTGAAGTTATGTAACGTTCCATATAACTTGGTTTTAAAGTCAGTGTTTATGTTGTGTATATGCGTACAGTTAATGCTTAGTGTTGTATGTGTGTTACAAGTGTAATGTCTTCCTTTTGTATTTAGTGCATGTATAACATGTTGTATCGTGGATGCCGTGTTTGAGTTTCACTAATGCATCTATATCCTTATTGGTATTTTGTTTTCCACCTTTGTGTCTTTGTACTGCTTCTAATATTAAGTTGTGTACTTCTCACTAACCAAGTTGTTTTTCTTCTTCAGATCGATACAGGAGAAAGTGATTTCAAAGTGAGTTAAGTATTTGTTTGCTTTAAATCAACATTGTAACGATGTTTTGTGTTGATATTATTTAATTCACTAAATGAGGGGACAATATATACTCAAACAGTTTTGTAGTTTTGAACAACCTTGATTACACTCATTGCGTCATTTTCAAGAGAGAGTAGAACTTTGTCTCAAGGGGACGCAAATATAATAGGAGAGGTCGATTAATCACACATTTGTATGTATCGCAGCTTCAGTTACGAAACCTATTAGCCCGTATATTTTTTCTCGAATTTCTTTAAATCTAGGATTTTGATTCTCGCCGTGAACGTCGCAGCCACCATGATTCCAACCCTCATAACAAGCGGCGTGATGAGAATCCCCATGGCAACCGCCACGAAGGTGATATCGAAAGTGACTCTCATTCAAACGGTGTTTATATCCAGAAACCGCGCACGTACCTTGTACACTCAGTGGTAGGCTGCATACTATGCGTCGTTCCACTGGGATTGATAAGTCTATATATGTCATATCAGGTAAACAACAATACCGTTTTAACATGACTCATAAGTATATATATATATATATATGACAAAAGTAACAACATATAAACAAGAATACAGTCCACTATGATTGTTGTCTATATATGACATATGAGGTAAGTAACAACATAGAAACAACAATACAGTCCACTAGGATTGGTAAGTCTATATATGACATATGAGGTAAGTGACAATATAGAACCGACAATACAGTCCACTACGATTGGTAAGTCTATATATGACATATGAGGTAAGTAACAACATAGAAACAATAATACAGTCCACTAGGATTGGTAAGTCTATATATGACATGAGGTAAGTAACAAAATAGAAACAAGAATACAGTCCACTAGGATTGGTAAGTCTATATATGACATATGAGGTAAGTAACAATATAGAAACAACAATACAGTCCACTAGGATTGGTAAGTCTATATATGACATGAGGAAAGTAACACCATAGAAACAACAATACAGTCCACTAGGATTGGTAAGTCTATATATGACATGAGGTAAGTAACAACATAGAAACAACAATACAGTCCACTAGGATTGGTAAGTCTATATATGACATGAGGTAAGTAACAACATAGAAACAACAATACAGTCCACTACGATTGGTAAGTCTATATATGACATATGAGGTAAGTAACAACATAGAAACAACAATACAGTCCACTAGGATTGGTAAGTCTATATATGACATGAGGAAAGTAACAATATAGAAACAACAATACAGTCCACTACGATTGGTAAGTCTGTATATGACATGAGGAAAGTAACAACATAGAAACAACAATAAAGTCCACTATGGTTGGTAAGTCTATATATGACATATGAGATAAGTAACAACATAGAAACAACAATACAGTCCACTAGGATTGGTAAGTCTATATATGACATGAGGTAAGAACAACATAGAAACAACAATACAGTCCACTATGATTGGTAAGTCTATATATGACATGAGGTAAGTAACAACATAGAAACAACAATACAGTCCACTAGGATTGGTAAGTCTGTATATGACATGAGGAAAGTAACAATATAGAACCGACAATACAGTCCACTACGATTGGTAAGTCTATATATGACATATGAGATAAGTAACAACATAGAAACAACAATACAGTCCACTATGATTGGTAAGTCTATATATGACATGAGGAAAGTAACAATATAGAAACAACAATACAGTCCACTACGATTGGTAAGTCTATATATGACATGAGGTAAGAACAACATAGAAACAACAATACAGTCCACTATGATTGGTAAGTCTATATATGACATGAGGTAAGTAACAACATAGAAACAACAATACAGTCCACTATGGTTGGTAAGTCTATATATGACATATGGGGTAAGTAACAGCATAGAAACAACAATACAGTCCACTACGATTGGTAAGTCTATATATGACATGAGGTAAGTAACAACATAGAAACAACAATACAGTCCACTATGGTTGGTAAGTCTATATATGACATATGGGGTAAGTAACAACATAGAAACAACAATACAGTCCACTAGGATTGGTAAGTCTATATATGACAAATGAGGTAAATAACAACATAGAAACAACAATACAGTCCACTAGGATTGGTAAGTCTATATATGGCATATGAGGCAAGTAACAATATAGAAACAAAAATACATTCCACTGGGATTTGTAAGCCTATATATGACATATGAGGTAAGCAACAGCATAGCAACAACAATACAGTCCACTAGGATTTGTAAGTCTATATATGACATATGAGGTAAGTAACAACATAGAAACAACAATACAGTCCACTAGGATTGGTAAGTCTATATATGACATGAGGTAAGAACAACATAGAAACAACAATACAGTCCACTATGATTGGTAAGTCTATATATGGCATATGAGGTAAGTAACAACATAGAAACAATAATACAGTCCACTAGGATTGGTAAGTCTATATATGACATATGGGGTAAGTAACATCATAGAAACAACAATACAGTCCACTAGGATTGGTAAGTCTATTTATGGCATATGAGGTAAGTAACAACAGAGAAACAATAATACAGTCCACTAGGGTTGGTAAGTCTGTATATGACATGAAGAAAGTAACAATATAGAACCGACAATACAGTCCACTACGATTGGTAAGTCTATATATGACATATGAGATAAGTAACAACATAGAAACAACAATACAGTCCACTATTATTGGTAAGTCTATATATGACATGAGGAAAGTAACAATATAGAAACAACAATACAGTCCACTACGATTGGTAAGTCTATATATGACATGAGGTAAGTAACAACATAGAAACAACAATACAGTCCACTATGGTTGGTAAGTCTATATATGACATATGGGGTAAGTAACAGCATAGAAACAACAATACAGTCCACTATGATTGGTAAGTCTATATATGACATGAGGTAAGTAACAACATAGAAACAACAATACAGTCCACTAGGATTGGTAAGTCTATATATGACATATGGGGTAAGTAACAACATAGAAACAACAATACAGCCCATTATGATTGGTAAGTCTATATATGGCATATGAGGCAAGTAACAATATAGAAACAAAAATACATTCCACTGGGATTTGTAAGCCTATATATGACATATGAGGTAAGCAACAGCATAGCAACAACAATACAGTCCACTAGGATTTGTAAGTCTATATATGACATATGAGGTAAGTAACAACATAGAAACAACAATACAGTCCACTAGGATTGGTAAGTCTATATATGACATGAGGTAAGAACAACATAGAAACAACAATACAGTCCACTATGATTGGTAAGTCTATATATGGCATATGAGGTAAGTAACAACATAGAAACAACAATACAGTCCACTAGGATTGGTAAGTCTATTTATGGCATATGAGGTAAGTAACAACATAGAAACAATAATACAGTCCACTAGGATTGGTAAGTCTATATATGACATATGGGGTAAGTAACATCATAGAAACAACAATACAGTCCACTAGGATTGGTAAGTCTATTTATGGCATATGAGGTAAGTAACAACATAGAAACAATAATACAGTCCACTTGGATTGGTAAGTCTATATATGACATATGGGCTAAGTAACATCATAAAAACAACAATACAGTCCAGTGGGATTGGAAAGTCTATATATGACATGTGAGGTAAGTAACAACATAGAAACAACAATACAGTTAACTATGATTGGTAAGTCTATATATGACATATGGGGTAAGTAACAACATAGAATCAACAATACAGCCCATTATGATTGGTAAGTCTATATATGGCATATGAGGTAAGTACCAACATAGAAACAACAATACAGTCCAGTAGGATTGGTAAGTCTATATATGACATATGAGGTAAATAACAATATAGAAACAGCACTACAGTCCACTGCGATTGGTAAGTCTATATATGGCATATGTAGTAAGTAACAACATAGAAACAATAATACAGTCCACTAGGATTGGTAAGTCTATATATGACATATGAGGTAAGTAACAACATAGAAACAGCAATACAGTCCACTACGATTGGTAAGTCTATATATGACATATGAAGTAAGTATCAACATAGAAACATGCATCAGTTCAGAGTATGTTATGCCAATCACTTGAGAATAATAGTAAAGTATAGCCATGTTGGGGTAAGTCAACTTAACCTCAATGGGTATCTATACTACTGTTTGTTTTAATATTCTCGATGCAACTTCACACGTTAAAATGTTTTTCCCCAAGTTCACGAGTGGTAGTAGAGAAGGAAGATATAAATGAATCATCATTTTTTTTATCTCTAAACATGTAGGTGTATAGTGCTGTGAAGAAACGGGATTTCCGAAAAGCAAAATCATCGTCCAAATGTGCATGTCAGTTGTCAGCGGCTAGCATCATCTGTGGTATCATCATATTGGTGTTAGTCATAGGAATAGTTATCTACTCCAGGTCGGATACGAGCTCTGCAACCCAGTCGCCATTCAACACTACGGACCCAATATGATTCTTGAATTGACCAATGAGCGTTCTAGTTTGTCTGTGTTTATTCTGTCGTAACAATCGCGAGATAATGATTCAACTAGAACGTATGAATGCTATGGACATCGCGGTTCCAGATAGCGAGACTTTGTGAAGGAATGATGAATGAAACTGGATTTTTCATTTTTAAGGTATTACTACGAAGCTTCAACCCTTCTGCTCGTCGACATCGTAATGGGACTGCTGCTCGCTTATGTCGAATGAGACTGAACATGAGACAATATTACTGAATATATTAAAGGTGTTTGTTTCATTTAATAGGAAGTAGTATTCCTTGTTTGTCATTTTTCAACGAATATATTATGTGTCCTTCTCCTGGAAAGTCATAACAGCTCCCGCGGTCTTCCGAGTGGCCAAACGGAAGACATGTTAGCACTACGACTGCGCAAAAGTTCGCGGTAACAATTTCCGGTACTACATTTGTATTTTGCTATTTTTCTTACGTTGTGAACAATAATAAACTATGTCTTCACTACGTTATTCCACTTTATATATCTATGAAATATTGCATTTTCAGAATTATCCTAAATATAATAGGTTTACCTTAGGCAACTCTTTCAATATGCAAATATTTTGATAACAATCTGCACTGCATTCGAGCCTGGTGTAAAGGTGTAATCTAGCCCTAAGATTTTTTGAAACATACTGTATTATACATCTGCCACCATAACGCCATAGGTTACAGCGTGCCGTAATTGTGCGTTATGTTACGGAGTACTATCATCCTACCATATAAGGAAATGCGAAGAAGTTCGCTGATTCTGTTCTTAACGTTTTTGATTTCGGCATTCCCATGATATATCCTTTGAAGGAAAAGATTTATAATAATAATGAGGTTAATACGAGGATGCCACAAAGTATGCACTCAGACAGTACGCCGTCGCATCGACCTCTGTATACTTTGAAGTACCCTCGTAATAACCTCATAATATATGAACATATGAACTGGACTGTTATGCCGTATAATACATGGTGCAATATCATGTATCGCATTTTACTTATGTTTGTATTCAAGTATTGATTGGGTGCTGCTCTTGGATGAGTAGAGAATACGTTTTTTTATTTTTTTACGAATAGGTTTGATACAAAACTATGCAATCCGATTGGCTGCCCCCCCCCCCCCCGGATTCAAGTGAGGTTGACTTCTAACATTTATTGACCGTGGTATGTATGCTTTAACGATGGCTCTGAGCAGTGTTACATAAAAAAAAAAAAAACTGGCGACATCACGTCACTTGACATATCCTCCACGTGATGGTCAGATAGGCAGCAGGGTCAAACCTACCAGCATCGCTCCACTGTATCTGTTATCCCTCAAGGTGGTACCAATGCCAATATGAATGGTAAATTCATGTTAATTTTCACGTTGGCGACAGCGATGGCGGCTGTCAATATGTACTTTGCTCGGCCTGTGGGAATTGCAGAACCCGCCAAACTGACGGCGGTCAACGCACTCTGTAAACTAGTACGATACGTGGTAAGGTATTTATATCTAGAAATAGACTACTATCGCTTCTAGTGTACGAATGAGTGTTCAATATTCACCACGTGTGTTGCATTCAACACATATGCGTATTATACCTATATTCTGGCTGGAGTTTGATCCGTAATTGTCTATAATTAGCTATCAACATTCGAGTAAAGTGAGAACCCATCATTTGACCTTTGAACTTTGTGGTCTAGGAATTATATGTTTGTGTTTCGGGGGGGGTCAATGCCGCCATTATGAATATACTACTGTAAAATGACTAAATTTCACTGGTTTAGCATTCAGTTTCAGGCATATTCAGTGGGTTTTAAATTCACGGTTTTATCATTTAGATAATGTGTTCTATGCTAAATTTTACATATTCACTGGGTTTTAATTTAGCTGACATTTTCCAGTCAGTGAAATAAGCAACATTAAAACCCAGTGAATAATTAACCCCTTTACAGTAACAGAGGGTGGTGCATATCTACACAAGCCAATGAATAACAAGTTAATATATGACATATCATATCGGATATGTGCAAACAAACCTAATGTTGTTAAACAGTGGATATGCAGGTGGCTCCGAAAAATCAGACTCTGATAAGTCAGACTATCAGGTTCATTGCGACGAGCAGAGTAGATGAATTGCATTATTTGCGTTATCTTAGAACTAATCATTTTATGCAGTTATCAAACTATCAGAATGTTGTAAATTGTATTTAAAATCATGACGTGAATGTATTTGAACTTTGAAATTGTTTTTATTCCCAGTGTGTGTGATAGTAACAAGTAACACGCCTATTTGTTTTATCACATGCTGTGGTTAGAAGGCAGTTTGAATAAAAATACTTAAAGCGGGGGAGTCGTTACCTGCGCATGCGTCAGATGGCCATAGCGTGTCATTGTTTTCAAACAAACGTATACCCATGAGCCTTTTCGTTTTTAGCGCGTGTCGTTATCATCGCTTGGGGCTCAATTTCCGCGCGTGCGGAGGTGACGACCCTCCCGCTTTAATTCGCTAACCTTTGGTTACAATATTTTTTTTTTATTGGTACCAGCAGTATTTTATCTACGAGATAACGTAACGTCACCTCTGGCCAAATATTGATGATCAGGCGTAAACTGATCGGTTGTAAAATAACACAAATACAAACATCTTACGAAATAAGTGACTAAAGATGTAAATAAGTTCGGTAAACAGTGCGTAAATAGACGAGTTTTGAGTTCCGCCATTATCTTAGAAGCTTAGGCGCTCTGGTGGGAAAACGTTCCGTCTGCACAGGGGCACTCTCAATACAGGGGGCGTTTGCATACATATGTGTGGAGATTGCGTGTGGGGTGGCTTGATTCGACGTGCTGTCGGTACAGCAAGAACAACGGAGCAGCAGCGTCAATGGGGCTTGATTTCGCCACGTAAACGTTTGATAGCTCATCGGAATTACTGTTTATTGACGCATGCACCTACTTACGTGACGCATGCGTGGAATTCCTGTGGGATAGGTCTTCATCGTTTAGCATGTTTAAAGGGTAACCGCTCAATCTCAGGGATTGCACCAAAGAATCATGGGACACTATTGTTTATGTTGTTTACAATGTTAATCTATCTTTTGTTATCCATTGTTATTTTAATCCAGAAAGTAAATTTGTTGTGTGATTAGGCTTAACTAGAAGGTGTCCCTTTAAGTAATCATGTAAATGTTCGAATTATGTACGTACAGCCCATGAATTAATGTAGCAGATACCCATTAAACCATATCTTTGAAAAGCAAAGTATCATTCTTGAGTATAAGGGAGCAGCATAAAGTACAGTTCTTTTGTTGGATGTTTTTTTTTTCTTTTTCTAAATATCCGTGAATACAAGTATATATTTCATAATTTTTCTTCAGTCAGTGTGTAATTTTTCTTTTGACTGACGATTTCAGACAGGTGTATTTTAGTATAAAGTAAATTATTGTACCAGTCGCATATAGGTTGGAAGTTCCGTAATTTGAAACAAGATGGACACTTTGTGCAAAAAAAACAAAAAACGTTCAACTTTTCTCGAATTACAAAATGAAATGTGTAACAATTTGTTTATTCACTCCGTTGATGATACATTCTTTTCAGAACACGCTAGTTGGGAATAAAAACCAGTAATTGTTAACCAAAAAACGCAATTTACGTAGCTGTTCATTATTTAAAATATGGTAAATCTTACAAAGAAAGATATTTAACTTCAACAACAGATGAACAAAAATATCGAAGCTCTGCACGGCCTTGCCTCCATTGACGTATTGTCAGTGCTTATACTGAGTCAGTTTAACTGCCCGAAAAATTGTTCATAATGTTTGTCATTCTATTCAGGGGGCGTGGTCAGAACAACTTCATATTTCCACGGAATATCAGGTCCAACGTATTACTCAAGGGGCGTTGGCGAAATTCGCCAAAAATCACTTGTCACGGGAAATCACCGACCAGATTGTTACAGATACTATGTTTGACGGTATCAATGTTCGTATATATGAACCGAGGGCGAGTCAATACGACATGCTTCCGGCACTTGTATTTATACACGGTGGAGGGTGGGCAACACTCAGTGTAGGTGCGTAATATTCGGGTACCTGTTTTTTATTTATACTAGTGGTGGTTGAGTCGGTATACCCTACTTCGACGGGATTTAATTCGTTTATATTACAACAAAACATTATTTTATATGCCAATATTTGATTTATACTGAGTTTGTACCAGGGCCTAACTCTTTAAACCATAACTCAGTACATTATGTGAAAATTGAAGTAAAAATCTAATCGTTTACTTATGGTACAGATCCACTGGTATAGTGTAGTTGTAATATATATCGTAATATATAGTGTAATGTTGATGATCATTTTGTCACATGGGTCTTCCCCCAAGATATATAGTTCACATAATTTTCTCATATTGTTTTCTTTCTCTGTAGAGGACTACGATGAAGTGACAAGAGATATAGCTGATCTGATGGGTCAAGTAGTTCTTATTTCAATCGAGTAAGTTTACCAATTAGTATTGTAATCAAGTCTACCCATTTGATGTGTAATGCGAATTGGGAACGTTTAATAACCGAAATTTATTTTCCGTTCAAATATCCAACATGTTTTTGTTAATAAGTACATTTGTCGTTAATTACGGTATATGTATTCTATGAAAAAAAACGCGCCAGTCAAGGCAAATTCCCAGTTATTCTGATGAACAATCATAGAGCATTGTGGGATAGTTTACAATTCATGTACTTGCAGAAAGGTTTACGATTTGTGAAAAACTGTCCCACAAATATTTATGTCGAATGATTCCTAACAAAATCGTTAATGGGCCGTGGTCGCCGCGCCGCGCATGTGCGACATTTGTGTTGATAAACATTGATATTCCCATAATTCAATGTGCTTTTGGGTGCGACATGCACTAAATATCGCCAGTGACTCCTTAGAAACCATCCAATCACAAACAAAATTACGTAGTGAATTCTTGGTAATGTCTAACTTTGTATCCGTCGGTTCTCACAACAGTCAAAGTCGCCATCTTTATTCATATGAGTCCAATATCTCGCGCATGCATAGCGCGACGACCATGTTGTATTAGTATATATTGTGTGTCAAATATTTCGCGCTCGTTTTTAATGACACCGAGGCGTTCTCTACATAATATTACCTAATTACATTAAAAAATGTTGACACAAATAAAAATGTACAAACAAGACACGGCAAAAAATGCACTGGTCAAATTCTTCTAGCCTCCCCTACAGTTTCAAATGTTTGACCCCTACCATGCTCATTTGTCAAATATCATTGCAGTTACAACCTCGCTCCAGAACACATCTTTCCAGGTCCTGTGAACGATTGCTACAAGGCAACAAAATGGCTGCTCCAACATGCAGCCGATTATGGAATTGACGAAAACAGAATTGGCATTTCCGGTGACAGCGCCGGTGGGAACTTGGCTGCATCGGTTGTTTTGCGATTAAAGGTCGATAAAGTCACCCCGAAACTGGCATTCCAGGTACTGGTTTACCCAGCATTACAGTCCATCGATTTCACCCTGCCTTCGTATCAACAAAACAAATACGCTTTTGATGGACTGATCACAACTTCGTATATGCCGTATTATTGGTTGATATACGCAATAGGTGAAGCTCCCAGAAACTTGACGGACGCCATGTTGAAAAAACAGGCCGTGTCAGAGTTGAGACGATTAAAGAACGGCCGCCTTGCGAATTATATCAACCACTCCCTGCTTCCAGAAACATATAAGAGTAGAGGGTATGACCCAAACATGCACACAAACATCAAGAAATCTGTTAAAGAAATTCCAAATAATATTTTACGGATTTTCGTTGATCCGTACTTCGCGCCACTTTTAGCAGAAGATCTCAGCGGACTTCCCGAGACCTATATAATAACTGCTGAATTTGATGTACTTCGGGATGACGGGATACTTTATTATGAGAGACTGAAGGAAGCTGGCGTCCAAGTGACACTCAACAATGTCGTAAGCGGTTTCCATGGGATGCTGAACATGGCCCAGGAAATCGGCGGATTTGAAGTTGGCATACAGCTTAAAAAAGATATTGCAAATTTTGCCAGGTTGAGATTTTATCCCGAGTAGTAAAATAGCGTGAAAAAGTTCTGTATATATTCGCAGAATGATTGTATAACAACGTCCATATTTGCCCCATCGATGTTGTTGTACTCAAACAAACACGAAATAAAGGTGGTTCATGAAAAACAAAATAGTTCTTATATGGTTATTTGATATATACTATGTAAACACGTGTGTCACAGAGCCGGCTTGACCGACACGAGACTGACATTGAGGGCGGGCTTTTAAGGCGGCGTAATTCTTCACTCGTGCTAAAACAGTTTCTGTAAGAACAGGGTGCCGGTTGAGAGTTGGCATTTTAGATAGAACGTCTTAAACTTATTCGGCATGGCGCCGGCTTATCTTGTACATACGTATTTCAACGCCGGCTTAACTCATGTTAACGCTGGTCTCCAAACCGGGTTTTTGGCACACGTTTGAACACGGTATTAGTGATTTTCTAATATACTGAATATAAAAGACCTAATGCATCTATCTTCTACGTTGCGCCCTCTAGCGATGAGGCGCGTCTGTGACGTAAGTAGGTGTAAGAGCCGTTGACATCGTGGCTGCCTGTCAATAAAATATAGTCTAAATTGTAAATGACGAGTTGAGTATTAGAGCGACATTGCGTAAACCCGTCAACGTCATTTTAACGTCTTGCTTGATCACGAGGGATCTGAGCTTCCGTGTAATTTTGCACAGTTTTAATTTAGCAGTTTTTTTTTTACTGTTTATGAGTTCGGTAATTCTCATATCACCAGGTCAAGAAATTACTATATACATCGATTAAAAAGGTACTACATATATTTAAAACTTGTGTAATTGTCTCTGTGCTGACATATTTTGTTACGAGGTTGAAGAAAGTAAAAGAACCCCCTCTAATTAAAAAAATATATAAATTTTCAAGGCAAACGGAAACGTGTGGTTATATTGGCAGAATCAAATGACGTCATTATCCACTGTATCCGTTGATTGACTGGTTGGATTCAACTGCAATTAAAATTTTAATATTTCCAGCAAATAGCAGAAGTGTGTAGGCAACTTGCTCACTAATTCGTTGAAAGATTTGGGTTTTGACAAAGTAGATTTGACCATCGCAAACCATTTTGCATACTTTTCAGCTTTTTTAAAATGTTGTTTTAATATAACTAGCATTCGGTGGTGACAGAATAAAAGTTCATCTGCTTTAGTTAAAACCAGTGGTGAATTAGTGCACCAATATTTCTGTATAAAATTGAAAGAAATGGGTTTGTTTTTGTTTCAAAATATCAGTGGGTTTATTATTTTTGAACAAGGAACACGCTTGTGTCTAATACCGAAATAACGAGTTTAATTTGCACCTGACATTGTTTACATTTAACAGACACGAATTCTTGCAGGCAACCTTCGTGTCGTCACAGTTACAGTATTACTACGTTTTCCGGCGTGTTCTGTGGTAAATGCAGACAAGTGACGAGGGCATAATATTTCTATATGCACGACTGACTGGCTTACAGACATCACCCGGGAAGAGATTGCAATGCCGAGATTCCAAACAAGCGCCCCTTACGGCTAACCGCAGGTCTTTCCTGACCCTGAGACTCTTTTCAATAGTGTGGCGGAATCTAAGCAAGTCAGCTGATTGCGGAGCTGACCTTTTCCCCTTTCAGTGCTTACAGGACATGAACGCGACGTAAAGTCATTAATAGCTGTCGGTGGTACCAACATCACTAACTGATTTCTAATATGGGTAAAAATATTATCATTTTTACATCGTTAACGGCGCTGCTTGTTTTCTCCATGTATATATCACGACCTATTGGAATAGCGGAGCCGGTCAAATTGACAGCGGTCAATGCTCTTTTCAAGATTGCAAGGTTTACGGTAAGTGACGCAATTCATGTGAGTCAATGATTCTCAACTCTACAGAACGGATTGAAGGAAATCCTTAGCGGCATGGCACAAACCTTGACATGATGTAGATAGACTTTAAATCACGACTGCGCATGCCCAGTTTCAATGACGAACGTACACTATACAAACGTCACAGTCTCGGATACCTGCACTGGTGCATGGCATTATACGTGATTGACTTCAGTGCATTAGTATATACTTTATTTAGTCTTACGCATAGCATGTGTTGGAGCTCCATGGGTGTAGTAACGTTGTGACACGGGCGCTTGTAAAACTTCCGATTCTGCCAGAGTCAAGGCCATTGTTTCGCATGGCATCGTTTTAACGAGGGATTATAGTGAATGCATTCACACAATCAAGTTTCCAAACAAAAACTTACTGACTGTAGAATAAGGTTTCAATTCTGGAAATAAAGAAAAATTGTTATTCCTGAAAGCAGGTTTTAGTTACTTCCCTCACCGATGTGCTCCTAGGACGGTCATTATGTGATAAACTAGGCTCGGCAAACTTTCTAGACAGTTTGAAATCTAATCTAGGTGAACTCTGGCAGAATAAATATTTGGAGATAAATAAATGTGATTATAGATATCGAGGTTCAAATCATGTTGTAGCTGACATGCTGAACTCGTAAGACATCGTCCAAATCTACAGTCGTTTTACTTGGCTGTTTTTTGTCGCTGATAAAAATGCAATATGGACGAAAACATCTATTTTTTTAATATTGTCATTTGATATTGGTTCTTCATATTGTAGGTCAATTCAGACTATGATTTACCCAAAACTAAAAAAAAATTACGTTTGTAGGACACACGACAGTATTCTTCAGATGAAAAGTCAAATTCACTAATACGCATGTGCAGTGATTGTTTTTGTACGTACCAAAAACAATCGATGCACATGCGTATTAGGGAATTTCACTGTTTTGTGTTTTGTCCAACTCAGACAACTACTCGAATACTCTGATGTATGCTGCGACAATCACGTGTTTAGATCATGATAAATTAACTATTAACGTGGTCTACGACGGCAAGATCGTCAACGTAACCACGCAAGCGATTTCACCGATAGTTTTTATTCTACGTAGCGCATTATTTTGTGCAAACAAAACTATACATTTAATGTATAGTTCTAACCTGACAGTATATAAATAGATTAATAAATTCTTGTTGGAAAAAAAAACTAATTAAAATACGGTCGTGATTGAGATTGCCTGTACTGTTACTGAAATGTACGTATTAACTAGAATAAAATCGCCTGGCGGCGGGGTCCAGTACATGCATATGCGTTAAATGAGTTTTCTATGTCAATGAAATAACGCGAGAACTGCATGGCTTGCATAAATGAAAATATTAAAAAATATATTTGCATGAAACAGCCAATTCTTTGATTTCTGATTTACTGCTTTATTAGTCCCCGTTCGGACGCAGTCCGAAAACGGGGACTTATGTTTTGCCCTGTGTGCGTCCGTCCGTCCGTGCGTCCGTGCGTCCGTGCGTCCGTGCGTCCGTGATCACCTGTATCTCGAACATGCATGGACCGATTAAGTTCAAACTTCACTCATACATCACACATTATATGGGACATATGCACATGCATTTTTTTCATGATCCGATTAACGATAGCCGAATAGCGGCCATTTTAAGGCCGAAAATGCATCAAAATCGCACATTTTCACCATTCCGGACCCGGATCTCAGTTATGCATGGACGGATTTTGTTCAAATTTGGTACATACATTAAACATAATAGGACCTTGATGCACGTCATTTTTTTTTTTGGATCGGGTTCGAAATGGCCGACTGGCGGCCATTTTGTTTTAAAGAATTCAGTTCTGGATCCGTATCTGAGACATGCTTGGATTGATCGAG